GTAGTCATGACAGAGAAATATCAGTGCCTCCTCCCACAATTCATGTTGCCAAAATAATGATTGTGATAGTAGCAACACTCTCCTTGCCTTCTTGGATAAAGCCCAGTATGACACTTGGTAAGATTTAACTGGAGTAGGGTAGGCTTTTTATGATATTCGGCCAGGCTTTGTGCATATGTCTTTTACTTGACTTGACTTAAACACACACATGCTCTCTATTATAAATTATCAATAATATTGGTGTTTACAGTATTCCTTCTTTGAACGTAAATAAAATAGCCCTATGACCCAGCAATTGCATTACTAGGTAGTTATCCAAAGGATACAAAAATGCTGATTCAAAGGAGCACATGCACCCCAATGTTTATAGCGGCATTATCAACAATAACCAAGTTATGGAAAGAGCCTAAATGTACAATAACTGATGTGGTATCTATATACAATGGAATATTATTTGGAGATCAAAAATAAGGAAGTTTTGCCATTTGCAACAACGTGGATGGAACTAGAGTGTATTATGCTAAACAAAATAAGTCAGTCAGAGAAAGATAAAAATCATATGATTTCACTCATATGTGGAATTTAAGAAACAAAACAGATGAACATAGGGGAAAGGAAGGAAAAATAAGATTAAACCAGAGAGGGAGGCAAACCATAAAAGACTGTTAAATACAGAGAACATTCTGAGGGTTGCTGGAGGGCTGTTGGGTGGGGGGATGGGCTAAACGGGTGATAGGGATTAAGGAGGGCACTTGTTGGGATGAGCACTGGGTGATACATGGCAGTGATGAATCACTAAATTCTATTCCTGAAATCATTATTACACTATATGTTAACTAACTTGGATTTAAATACAATTAAAAATTAAAAAGAAAAGAGTATTAGAAACTTATCTAATTTATCCTCATCAAATAAATAAAGGAAGGAAGGAAGGAAGGAAGGAAGGAAGGAAGGAAGCTTTCAATGGCCTGGAAACTTCCTTCTTTCTTATTCACCCAGAATGCCAATCAATCTTCACAGAGCAATCTTTTTGTTTTGTTTTGTTTTGACCAGGCTATTTGCAAAAACTCTCAGCAATTTTCTCAGAAAAAAAATTCCACACTACTCATTTTAACATGACGTGGAGATTTATAGCTCCCTCCTGCCTATCCTGCTGTTATGCCCTACATTACTCTGCATGTACCTGCTGGAGGCCTCTCACTCAGCCCTCTCTCGCAGTGGTCTTGGTGTCCTTGTTCATGCCATTTCCTTCACTCAGGCTGTTCTTCCTCCTCCTTTCTCTGCATCCAAATCTTTTCCATTCCTCTAACTAAAATCCTGTCCCCTCTATGAAACTTCACCAGGCCACTCCAGGTCGTTCTGGACCTCAATGTCATACTTTGAACAGTTGACTTATTCGAGTATTACTGGTAAAATATGAGGCATGGTGAAGTTTAAGCAAGACTAGGGCTCATGTTGTTTGAGTGGATTCTGACCATTGGACCCATCTCTGTGCCTCTCTTCTATTTCTCACTCTATCTCTATCTCTGTCTCTCTCTCTTTTTTAATTTGTTTTTCTCATCTTTTCTCTCTTTCTCTCTCTCTCTCTCTTTTAAAGGTGAAGGGACATACTCCAAATGTGGAGGTACTTGGAAGGCCATGCTTTGAAAGGGGAAGCTAATAGGTGGTAACTGGAGGACTGGAGCATCCAGTGTGGGGGCATATCCAGTCATTCCACCATCAACACAACACAATTCCATATGCCAAGAGAGCTTCATTTATTGTTAGGGCAATTCCCAAAGGCATATTACAGCCTGAGATTCTGAGAGGAAAAAAAACAAAGCCCTGAAAAACTAATTCAGTTCATCAAAGAAAATAATGACATGATATAAAATAAAATAACTGAAAAACATACAGGGTATTGAGGTAGGGAGGTGATAAGAAATATAAACTTGGGAGGTAAGACATTTAGAAACAATAAAAGATATTTAAAGTTATGGAGAGAAGAGCAGTGCTTGCTTCAATCTGAAGAGAGGTAAGTTGAAGCCTTACCATTGCCTGGAAGAAATACATTTTTTTTTTTAAATTTTTTTATTTGAGAGAGAGAGAGAGAGAGAGCACCCTTAAGTGGGGGAAGGGAGCAGAGAGAGAAAGAAAGAGAATCTTAAGCAGACTCCACACTCTGCATACAGCCAGATCCCACAACACTGGGATCATGACCTGAGCAGAAAATAAGAGTTGGAAGTTCAACCAACTGAGCTACCTAGGCACCCCTGGAAGAAATATTTCTTAAATAAAAGTTGAGACAAAGCCACAAAAGATGCCCAGCCAAGCCACACATTGGGTTAAGAGAGAAGATATCAAAAGCACATTTCAAAGGGCATACTGAGTAATGTTGTTTCACTAGGGGCCCCAAATTTGCAAAAATTTCCAATCCTCTTGCTAAATCTGAAAGGGAATGAATTGAAAGCATGGAGATGTAAAAAACCTAAAACAAAAATCCTTATCCAAGCATTTAGATTTATAAATCTAAATGATCTAAGATTCTTAAATACTTTTTTAAAAAAATGTTTATTTTTTTAGACAGAGGGAGAGACAGAAAGAGAGTGCGTGAGCAGGGAAGGGACAGAGAGGGAGAGAGAATCCCAAGCAGACTCCTTGCTGTCAGCACAGAGCCAAAGGAGGAGCTGGACCCTAGGAAACAGTGAGGTCATGACCTGAGCCCAAGATCAAGAGTCTGATACTTAACCAACTGAGCCACGCAGGTAGCCCTGATCTAAGATTCTTGAATTAAGTTCTCTATGTTTTGTTTTCCCTGATGGTCTTTTTTTTTTTTTTTAAGGTTTTATTTTAAATAATCTTTACTCCCAATGTGGGGCTTGAACTCACAGCCTTGAGGTCAAGAGTCTCATACCCTATGGACTGAGACTGCCAGGCATCCTGTCTTCCTCCCTGGTTAAACAGAAAAACAAACACCAACATCAAGAAGAAATTTAAAGCAAGGGTCACTTTTAAAATAGAGTTTCCTTACTCTCTCAAAATTAATGTGAAAAAGGAAGACAAAGGTCTTCTAGGACCCCTTTACTTGCAGTAGTTAATGGTTACTTACCATTATGTTTTTAGCTTTCTTTTGTTGAGTCATCAACTATTCTCCTCCCCCACTCCTTAGATTCCAGGGTCAACAGGCAACCTTTTATTAAATCATGGGACTGCATTTGCTATGTTTGGTCTTGATCCAGCTTCTTTATTATCTGTGCTGTTGTGCACTACACTGTTTTGTAGACACATCAGATAAAATGGGGAAACAAAACCGGGAGACTATTCCCAGACTATTTGCCAACTGATTTTAAACTGTTGCTGGGTGCTGGTATGCAAAATAATAAATAGTCTTTTATTCCTAAGTCTTGTAGAATAGAAATGGGGGGGGGGGGTTGTTAATTTCCGATTCTGTCAAATGCCTTCATTCTTCCTTTGCCTCAGTTTCCTAATTTAATAGTGTCCAGAATTTTTTCTTTTCTTCCCTAATTCTATGTAATGCAAATGCCTTCAATATTTTTCCATCATCCCATCATAACAAAAAGAGAAGCAGGAAGGATATACGTATAATCATTTATAATCCTCCAGATCTTGTTCTGGAATTCCTTAGTTTTCAATGGTAGTGTCTCAGGAAATCTATGAAACTATGCCAGTAGTTCACAAAGTAAACCTCACAGGGTTGATCCCTCATCAAGTGAGGGTCAGGGAGTATCGGTAAGGTGCTGCAAGACATATGGCTAGCTGGGATCAGAACTCACCAGAACTGGAATTCAACTCTTGGCCATTCTCAACTGAACTCTCAATTTTCAGTGGAATTTCAGAATGCCTAAGCAGACTTAGGGTCTGGATTGGGTTTCTGAGTCCAGTATGACCTTTGGAAACATGGTCTGAAAGATTTGACAACCTTGGGTTGTTTCACAGGGATTTTTGGGGTCTGATTCTACCGAGTCTGGGACCTAACCTCATTCTGGAGCAGAGCCACATTCCCAAGGACCTCAGCCTCAGCCTACTTCCTTCACAGTTGACCGAGGTCAGAGTTGACACAGCTGAAACATTCTACACTGTATCCACCTTTTTGGTGGAACCGGGACAGAGTGGGGGTGGAAGAGTACAAGATCAACCATTTGTTCAAAGAGCTACACAATCATTAACCCAGTTAACAGTGCAGGCCAGTATCCTCTCTCACATTAGTTATAAGAAGAATCTTTTCAAAATATAATTTTGCCTTATCATTATTATTATTTTTTAATTTTGCAGAAAATTACTAAAGACTCATCATTGAGTACCTTGCCTTTGAATCACAAATCATCCGGTGTGCAGTGGGTTTTGTTCAAATCTGCACCAGAGTGGAACATTTTGTTTTAGGAATGTGAGAAGTACGAAATACAAATCTGCCAAGAGTCTTCCTCCGAAGTGCTCTGGGATTAGGCAGGGTAGGTATTGACCTTCCAAGGGAGGGGGTGAAGACATGGCAAGTCTGAGTCCGGTAACGCCCTTGGGTGAGGTCCCAGGAAGATAAAAGTAGTCAGATCACAAGGATAGAGCGTATTAACATTTCTGCCCTCCACTGGGCCAGTTCCATAATATAGAGAGGAAACGGAGGTGTGGACGCCCAAAACTTCCAGTCTTTGGACGTGCGGTGGGGGCAGCGAGCAGGAAAGGGCCTGCCTGCTACTGCCTGAGGTGAAGCCACTGTGCGCGGCGAACCCAGCAAAGTTCACCTGACTTCGTTACAAACCTGCAACATTGAGCCCGAAGGTAAACTGGGTGTAAAAGAACTCAGAACCGGAAAATCCTGGCCCGCACCCAACGAGCGCCCGTCCCCGCTCCCCGCCAACCGGCAAGATCCTGCGTGGGACCTAGGGCGGGGGCAGAGTTTGGAGCGGCGCCCGGCCCCGCCCCTCCCGCCTGCGGTCCCGCCCCTCCGTCCTCCCCGCTCCAACCCCGCCCCCGGGGGTGCGAGCCGTCTCCGCCCTCGCCCGGGAGCTGTGAGGCTGCGGGAGCGCTGCAGCAGTAGCCGCCTCAGCAGCCGCGGAGCCGCTCGCTTCACCTCCTTCGTCGCTGAGCCGCTCTCGGCCGAGGAGGCTGCAGCCGAAGCCAGGAGCCCTCAGCCCTCGCCTCGAGCTCGCCGCCGCCCTCCGAGGGCGCCCCAGGCCGCGCCATGGTGAAGGTGACGTTCAACTCGGCTCTGGCCCAGAAGGAGGCCAAGAAGGACGATCCCAAGTGCGGCGAGGAGGCACTCATCATCCCCCCCGACGCCGTCGCGGTGGACTGCAAGGTCCGAGGGCCGGGGAGGTCGAGGGACTGGGAGCTCGGCCCGGCCCGCAGGGCTAAGCGGGGCCCGGGGCGGCTCTGCGCTTCGCGGTGGCGCGGGGGTGCGGGCGAGGGTCCCCGGGAGGGTCTCCGGGCTCTCCTTCTTCTGAGGCTGCTCCCCCTTGCGTGTCCGGCCGCAGCTTCTCCTTTGTAAGAAAGTGCGTGTGCAGGAATCGGTGCTTAACACGGGATCGGGGGCTTGCGAGGCCTGGAGAGAGGGATCGAAGAATTGTGCCGAGTTCACGGTCGTTGTGCAGTCGGGGGAAGGTGCGTTGGGTCGTGACTGGGTTCGTTCCACCTGGAGACCGGCGGCGACATGCAAAACAACGAAAACAACCACAGAGTTTGGCACTTCCTCCCAGTGTAAATAATGTGCCTAAAATGGCTGACATCATTACAAGCCTAAACCTCTGTTGCTTCCTACTTTCGTTTCCAGGCTGAACAGCACTTGGACTAAGTCCAGCTGCTGTAAGTCTCTTAATTTTAAAAGCATTTTCTTTACCTCCTTTTTCCACGGCCCTTCGGTATTGGCAGGTGAACTTCAATTTGGGGTCTGGAGAGGGGGGGCTGAGGAACGGGTGACGGAAGGAAGCGAAATGACGATCTTTTCAGAGTAGCCTTTGGCTACTGATTTTATAGTTAAAACAAATATTCCGGGTAAAGATCCGTAATTACTGTGTACATGTTAGTGTCAAACCGGCAACTGGTTTTTCAATTATATAAGCGTCTTTATGAGGACCCCTTACGCTAAGTGAAACTAAACGGGAGAAACTTGTCCAAGTCCCTTATAAAATTCTCCTTTATTTCGCAAACTCCCCCTTTTAGTCCTAATTAAAAATCAGGAGTGGGACCATAATTGTGGTAGCTTTTAGCGGCTTACAATAATAATTCATTTAGAATATGATTGTAATGGTCTCAAGTTAAAAAGGAAAGACTCCTAGCCTATTTTCTACGAGATCTTTGGGCTGCAAAAATTCAGTCCTCTAGGTAGAAATTAGCTGTAGAAGTTAGTTATGCTGCACAAGTTACTTTTTCCTTAGCATTTTTCAAGACGTGTTATCAGTAGGGCACACTTAGTTTTTACTTAAAAAACAATTGTGTGCAGGTGTGAGTAATAAGTTATTTTTTTTATATGGTTTAGTGAAAGTTACTATTGAAAAATATGGCACTGACATACTATAAAAAATTTGAGATTATGTGAAGCTGGATGTGCCTGTACTTATTTTTTGGGAATGTTCTAGTTAAAAACAAAAACATCAGGGGTTGATTTTTAAATGACTGCCTTGCCTTGAAATAGGAACAGTGAACTGATTCCCTAAAAGGATTAAGAGTTTTGGTATTGGTATTGTTTTTCTGAATCCATTGCAAACAGTCTTGGTCTTAAAAGAAAATGTTTGGAATGCACAGAGGATAATTCCAGTAGCAAATTATTATCCTAGCTCTGTGTTTATTTAACATTCATTGCACCTAAAATAGATTGTCAAGTGCCCTGTCATAACAGTCACAGTCTCAGATACATATAGAGATTTTAATCGTATTATGTATCTTTTAAAAAATCCTATAAATAAATATAATTCCTCCCGTTTAAAAAAAGGGAGGGAGAAAGCATCAGATGATGTCACTTCAGAGAGCTTTTCTCTGTTTCTCTGTACTGAAGGAGATTTGAAACTCTGGATGAACGACAGAATTAATTTGCTAGGCAGCTTTAAATCTGACTTTTAACATTTTCTGTCATTTCTGAAATGTTAACTTTGCTTTCAGATTTTCAGAATTTCTCGCAGTTTCACCATACGCTAATTTTATTTTCCCAGCAGTTGTGAAAAAGTAGCCATTGGTAGCTCTGTGCTTTGTTTTCTATTTTCTTTTTCTGTTTGCTTTCTATTTTCTTAGATCCTATATCTAAATAGAAATACTTGAACTAAGCTGTGAGGGCCAGAGTATTCCTTTGTAACCACACAGCAGTCATGGATGAATAGGCAGATAAAAAAATGACATTCTTTTTCTAGCAATAAGCTCAAAGACTTCTTTTCTTCAGTGAGTGACAAAATATTGCTCTACGTTAAAAGTAGAACCCATATAATCAGTCACTTAACGGTAAATGAAGACTTTGCTTAGTAATAGACGTTGTGAAAGAACTTCTGATCTGCATCTTAGCTTGGGCTGTGATTACATAATGTGCTCTAGCTCCTTGGGGTGACTTTACCAGTAACCACTGGTTTGACTGCCCATATTTTGCACCGAATCAGCCTTCCTTTTTTCCCCCTGGGGCATTTCCTTGCCTGCCTGGTTGGTTGAGAGAATCAAGTAAAGCTAATTATGGACCAGAACTCCTGAACAAGACATTTTTAATACCTTCAAACCCTCCTGGACCTCAATGTCCAAAAGACATTTGTTTCTCAAAATGTACAGTTAAGGGTCACCTGCCCTGATGTCATTTTGGATTCTGGTTAAAAAATGCAGATTCTATTGGTTAGAATCTACCAAAGAATTCTGATCACTCCAGTCATCTGTCTTATGTAACACACATTCCAGTACTTTAATGTTGCTTCTGTCTTTTGCTGTTTCTTTAGCTCTTATTGCAGGTTCCATTGCCCCATTTTTCAGTCTTGTCTTTGCAGTAGCTGTCAACTCCCAACAGCCATGTCTACTGATTATCTCAACTAGCTCGCTATTTACTATTCTTAATGTTTATTTATTTTTGACAGAGAGAGAGAGAGAGAGAGAGAGAGAGAGAGAGACAGAGCATGAGTGGGGGAGGGGCAGAGAGAGAGGGAGACACAGAATCCGAAGCAGGCTCCAGGCTCTCAGCTGTCAGCACAGAGCCCAACGCGGGGCTGGAACCCACGGGCCACGAGATCATGACCTGAACTGAAGTCAGATGCTCAGCCAACTGAACCACCCAGGCGCCCCTATTTACTATTTTTTTTCACTACATTTTCCCTTTAATTTTTCACCTTCCTCTGCCTGTCCCAACTGTCACAAAGCTCAGAGATAAAGATACAGAAATAGCAGAGTATGACCTCTGTTCTGTGTAACAGGTGAATTTGAAATCCCATGCATGTTTTATGTTAGGTGCAGCAATTCATTCACTTACATTTGTGTCTATAACTTTGAGCCTTGGAAAACTGTTATATATTTGCAGATATGAAAGAAAATACTTAATGTACTGAGTCAGAAGTCCCAGTTTTGTCTTTACATAACTGAGCTTGGGCTTAAGTTTTTCATTTTCTTTATCTCTTTGATGAGCGGGTACAGCCACATGGTCTATAAGGACTCTTCCAGTTTTACAATTTGATGAAGATGTTAGGATTACATAATTATATTTGGCAGGAATTAAATTGTTTTAATTGTGAAAAATAACAACTACCTCCTCACCCTAACCAGACCGTGCCCTTTCTTCTTCCCCATGTTTAGCATGTTATCTTCGTATTAAGTAGCAGTGGGTCAAAGAGAAAAGAAATGGACCAAGGTTTTATGTAATAAACCAATTTTTTATTTTGGGTTACCTCACCAAGAGAGTGCACCCACATGAGCAAGGGAGGGGGCAGAGGGAGAGAGAGAGAGAGAGAGAGAGAGAGAGCGAGCAAGTGCAAGGGAGAATCTTAAGCAGGCTCCACTCTCAGCTTAGAGCCGGATGCTGGGCTCAATCCTAGGACGCTGTGATCATGACCTGAGCAGAAATCAAGAGTCAGACACTCAACCAACTGAGCCACCCAGGCGCCCTTTGGGTTCCCTCATTTTAGAGCAGTAGTTGGTAACAGCTTTTTTGGTAATGCCGAATTATGAAACACCTTTCCCAATATCAAAACTCAGAAAGCTTAAATTTGCTTCATAGGTATTCCTGCCGCTGTACTGCTGAAAAATAGCATTGCCTCTCTTCTGCCCTGCATTGTAGTTGTAGACGTAAAAGGGAGAGAAAAGGAAACTGCTTGTGTGGGAGAGAAGATGGGGCAGGATGGAAGTGGGAGAAAAAGTACAGGACCACTACCCCAGTTAAGTTCTGAGTTACCCATTACAGAATGGCCATTTGGACTTAGTTCTTTACACTTTCTGGTGTTTCCTGTTTGCATAAATAGGACTAATGGGTTCAGTAATTTAGCTTTGTGGTGGTGGTGGTGGTTGGTTTTTGTTTTTTTGGTGCGGATGAAGAGGAAGGAGGAACATAAAATATATGACATTTACTGAAATGTGTTGACCTTTAAAGAAGAGATTGGGAGCTTGGTTGTTTTTAAAGAATCTACATATCATTACCTAGTTAGTTGTGTAATTTAGTGCTTGTAAACCAGTGGCCAGTAAAAAATTTATAGTCCTTAACATTTTGGTTCTCCAAGAGGGTATTTATCGATAGTTGAAGTGTGAGGGTTTAATATTGGGAGATAAATTAAGTGTCCCCTGTGCATACCACATGACTTGGCAGGACCTGACCCCTCCTTCCACATGCCTCTGGGGTTGCTGCTGCTACTGCAGAGGGTGGACAAGGTTGCATATTGTGCATTTGGAGGACAAATTACCTGCCTGGGGTCTTCACAGTGTCACCTTAAACATATTTTGTCTGTACTAAACAGAAGCAAGTGTATCATCCTTAGCAAAATAAGCACATCAGATGTTGTAGAATTCAGCTCTGCCATATAAGTGAATATAAGCGTTTTTTTTTAACCAGAAATATCTTTTAGAACTCATGGCACAGGCTTAGTTATAGTTGATTTAGAATTTAACTTATAAAGTTTTCATTATATATTACTAAAGCTTGATGTGCTTTAAACTAAATGTTCATTGAAAAATGTAGTAAGTAGTAATTCTGGGACATTTTATTTCTCCTTTTCTATCATAACTTAATATCTAGAGTGTCTATTTAAAGGCATTTTCTTTTTCCAAAAGGAAATACTTTCTGAATTCATATTATAACTAAAGCTACTTGGACTGCTTTGTATATCATAGTGTCAATAGAGGAAGATCCAGAAAATATTTATGTCTTTTCAAATACAGAATCGGTGAATTCATCCTCTTAAACCTTTTAGGTAAACTGTAGGTACCTTTTAGGTAAACTTGGCAATTCTTATTAGAGCTTAGACTGAGGAGTTAAGGAATTTGCCATCAAAAGGCTTTTTCAGGTCATAACTCCTGCCTGTTTTAATACAGGATTTGACAGTTCTGAGTTTCTCGGGTGGTTTTTGTCCAAATGATATAGAAAACAGTCACACTGGAACTAGGTTTTCAAGAAGCTTATGTGCAGAGTTATTTCCTGGCTCTCTTATTTTCTTTGCACAAAACTTAATGAATGTCTTTTACAGGGTATATGGCTAAAAGTTTAGAAATTTTAGTACAGATATGACCCAAAGAACATCATTAAAAATCATTTAGTTGTGATTATCCCCTTTATTATTTATGATACATATTCTTAATAGCTTTAAAGATATCTACAATATAATCCTCTTTTATGTGTTACCAGCAAGTGAATGAACAAAATTATTTTAAACAGTTGAAGATTTTTTTTTTAAGCTCTTTAATTGATTTGAGGGGAAAAACAATTTTATGAAGTATTTCTATAATTCTGTCACTTGGGGAAAAATCAGGAAAAAATGAACATAGGCTTTATTCTTATGCAGAAGAATTTTAATCTTGAGTTATAGAAATGAAAAAAGTATTCTTTTTTATATGATAAGAGGGATATTCTGATTTTTCATTTAATGTATTATCTTTTAATGTTGATAAGGTTCCCACAGTAATTATAGGACTTAGATGGTGTGTGTGTGTGTGTGTGTATGTATGTATGTATCAGAAGAGAAATTAATGTTGAAATAAAATTTGTGTAAATGCCTGAACATTTTCAAGTTAAATATCTAGGAACTTTATTTGAAAATTGACACTAATTATGGTGTTAGATATTGGAGATTTAAAAATATTTGCATAAACCTTTTTGGCATAGTTGAATTTCATACTTTAGGAAATGAAGTCTTGATGGGTTTTTGTATATTTGAAAGTTTGTTTTAATGCCAACATTATTATTATTATTTTCTATTTGAGAGAGAACTCTTATGGGTATATGTGCATGTGGGCTCAAGTGGGAGAGAGGCAGGGCAGAAAGAGAGAGTGTGAGATAGAATCTCAAACAGGCTCCGAGCTGTCAGCCCGATTGGGGCTCTGTCTCAGGAATACTGAGATCATGACTGGAGGTGAAATCAAAGAGTCAGACTTTAACCAACTGAGCCATCCAGACAACCCCTGGCCAAAATTATTATTTTTTTTTTTAATTTTTTTTCAACGTTTTTATTTTATTTTTGGGACAGAGAGAGACAGAGCATGAACGGGGGAGGGGCAGAGAGAGAGGGAGACACAGAATCGGAAACAGGCTCCAGGCTCCGAGCCATCAGCCCAGAGCCTGACGCGGGGCTCAAACTCACGCACCGCGAGATCGTGACCTGGCTGAAGTCAGACGCTTAACCGACTGTGCCACCCAGGCGCCCCCCAAAATTATTTTTAAAAGTTTGTCTGTTTTGGGGCACCTAAGTGGCTTAGTCAGTTAAGTGTCCAGCTTTGGCTCGGGTCATGATCTCACAGTTCTAGGGTTCAAGCCCTTATGGGGCTCTCTGCTGTCAGTGTGGAGCTTGCTTCAGATTCTCTGTCTCCCTGTCTCTGCCCCTTCCCTGCTGTCTCTCTCTCTCAAAAATAAACATTTTAAAAAAATTTGTCTGTTTTGCAGAATGTATGAAGATTAAAGCCTAAATCTTGAATTGTTTACTCTGCTTTAAATATGATTATTATGTTTAAAATTATTTAATACAAAGCCCCAAAAGGTGAGTTGCATTGTTAAATAAATTAGTTGGATCACTGTAGTGTCCAAAAGAAGACCCAGCTTTGTGTTGGGAAAAATGATTTCCAGAGTCCGTCTGTCTGCATCTGCATTTCTTTTTTTTTTTTTTTTTTAATTTTTTTTTCCAACGTTTTTATTTATTTTTGGGACAGAGAGAGACAGAGCATGAATGGGGGAGAGGCAGAGAGAGAGGGAGACACAGAATCAGAAACAGGCTCCAGGCTCCGAGCCATCAGCCCAGAGCCTGACGCGGGGCTCAAACTCACGGACCGCGAGATCGTGACCTGGCTGAAGTCGGACGCTTAACCGACTGCGCCACCCAGGCGCCCCTTTTAATTTTTTTTTTTTTCAATGCGTCTGCATTTCTTAAAATTCATTTTCTCAGCCAACCTTTTAGTATTTCTGTTCTGCTATATACACTCTTCTATCAGTTTTTATCTTTTATTTTGTAGCTTTCGTCTTCAATTTATTTTTTCCTTGCTTTCATCTTAGCGCCAAGAACATTTCCCAAGCGAGACATCAGTATTAACCGGGACAATGATAGACTAAGCAGAGATCACAAACTCAATGCCTCCTGGGCCCAAGCAGATAAATTAGTGAAGCTGGGCTTTTTACCTATTAAAGAAGTTAGAATATTCTTCATTTTCATTAAAAAAAAAAAAAAAAAGGATCCAGTGTTGTTTGATTCTCCAGTTTTTAAAGGCAAGGTAGAATCAGGGTTTTTATTTGAAACCTGAGTTTTAAATATTAACAACTAATTAATACAGGAATTTCAGGCAAGAATTGACAGCTTGACATGGGCCACTGCTTTGGTCTCCTTTATAGTAGAGAGCAGGGCTGGCAAATTATGGCCCATGTGTTCAAATGTGGCCTGCTGCCTGTTTTCATATGGCCCATGAGCTAGGAATTACTTTCACATTTTTAAATGGTTGAGGGGAAAATCAACCAGTTTCTCCCTTTTGCCCCAGTATCCTCACTCAGTAAAGGGGTATAGATCAGGAAGCCATTGAGTCTAGTAACTGAGAAATCAGACTAGGCAGTTCTACTTTAGGATTTAAGTCCTATGTCTACTAGCCCTTACTGTGATACTCAGCTTTCTATGTCTCATTTTCTTCTGCAAAATGAGGAGTATGATAATCTGTAAAAAGTTTATCACTGTGCCTGGAATAGAGTGAGAGTAAGACTCCATAGACATTAGCTGCTGTTATTACTACTACCATTACTGTCACTTATAACTACAGCTGTCACAGGGTTTGGCATTCCTCAGATTATTAAATAGCTATGTGATGTGAGACCAGATGTAGCATCTGTCTAGTTTTCCTGTTTGCTTTGATTCCACTTTGCACATGTCACTTGTTTTAAGGAAACTTACCTTAAAGATTTCTAGAAGTAGAAGATTTAAAGATAGAAGTAAAGTTAACGAAGCAGGGCAGTTACTAATTTCAGTTTTGTTTTGTTTTTTTATAGACCAGTGCCCCACACCTAAAGCCATTTTCAGATAGGGTGAGATCCTACTGGCAAATGTTAATGTTGTAATCTGGATCTGGTAACTTGCACAAGTCAGGAAACCTCCCCAAGACTCAGTTCCCTCGTTAGTAGGATAGTGTGGTGACACTGGCCTTCTAGAGAGCTGTTGGGATGAAATTAACAATACCTGCTACATAGAAACTTAAATGTTAAGGCATTTCCTTCATCCCTATCTATTAAAATAAAGACCCACTTTTCTTCCTCATCATTCTTGTTCTGGAATATTACTTCTTGTGTTTACTGTTATTGTTTATCTCTATGTCACATGTCAGTTACATAACAATATTGTTATTAAATCACGCTCTCCAAGGATTCTGATGAGGATTCCTTTCTATAACATAAAACCCTTAGCCTTCAGTAGTTGTATTCATTTTCCTGCGAAAGTGGGTATTGTCCATCACATAAAGGATGTTAATAGAGTTTTATAAATTTAATTTTGGGTTTTACCAAGTAATACTTTATTTTAAAATGCAAATAATCCTGCCCTATCACAGAGGAACCCACTTTTTAAAAATCACACTATAATTATTTTCATTACAATGCAAATTTTGAGTGTACAGTTACATGACTTTAAACATACGCACCTGAATAACAACCCAGTCAAGATAGAAATGTTGCTGTCAACTCACAAAGTTCCCATGTCCTTGTAGAGTCTCCTCCTCTCCCCTTAGAGGCAACCACTATTCTAATTTCTATCTTTGAAAATTAATTTGAGGCAATTGGGTTCACTCTGGCTTCTTACGGTCTTTTGTTATCAGAGTGGCCACTAGGCTACACTCTGCCTTTCTGAAAATTAGAAAAGGCTGCCCTCTGCGGTTTTGGTGAGCAGAGCACAGACTGGATTCTGGCTTCACTGATCTCCTTGGCCCTGTATCCTTGTACTCAGAACAATCTGCCCAGCCATATACGATGATCCTAGCTCCGTGTTTCTATAAATTAGTGGTTCTCAAACTTTCTGGTCTCAGGACCCTTTTGTACTCTTAAAAATTGTTGAGGATCCCAAAGAGTTTTTGATTAATGCAGTTTATATCTATTGATATTTACTATATTAGAAATTAAGACAATATTAACTTAAAATAACAATAATAAACCTACAAAACATTACCATAAATGACAATTTTATGAATACTGAACTTTTCCAAACAACCAGAAAAACTTTTTAAATTTATATTCAAGTCAGTTAGCTGGTTACAGTGTAAACTGGTTATAGTGTAAAATAACGAGAAATTTTTAAGAAGGGTAACACTTTTACATTTTTTCAATACTCTACTGAATAGCTTAGTAGAAGACTATTAATAATAGCTGATTCTCACATCAGCTTTTGTGGTCAGCTTATTGTGCTATCACACATTCAGCTTCTGGAAAAGTTGACTATACACTAGTCAGAGAGTGAGAATGAAAAAAAAAAACAGTGTGTTAGTTTTTTTATGAGAATAGTTTTGACCTTGTGGAACCCCTGAAAGTGTCCCTGGACCACATTTGGAAAACTACTCTCCATATTTGCTTATGCTGCTGTTCATAGTTTTTGTTTTGTTTGTATTTTTTGCAGTTTTAGCTTATTACCTACTGGCTTCCTTATATGGAAAGTGAATATTTAGCCTTTTCTATATATTAACATATTACAAACATAGTCTATTCTTAAGGTATAGTTATAGTAATTTCTGGTTAAATTGATATTCTTTCCTTTTATTGTAATTGACATAAACGTCATTTACACCTGAGTAATGTAGCTTTATTCTATTTCTTTTCTCATACAAAACCTTTTTATTATCCCTAGAGTTTAAAAAAATGTTTATTTTTGAGAGAGAGAGACAGCGAGAAAGACAGAGCATGAGTGGGGAAGGGGCAGAGAGAGAGGGAGACACAGAATCTGAAGCAGGCTCCAGACTCTGAGCTGTTAACACAGAGCCCAATGCGGGGCTAGAACTCATGAACTGTGGGATTGTGACCTAAGCTGAAGTCAGGCACTTAACCAACTGAGCCACCCAGGCACCCCATTTTTCTTAGATTTAATCATTATTTCTTGGGCCAAGGAGAGTTGCTTAATTTTCTATTTATTGTTAATTCATCTTCAGACTCTGACAGCAGGTCCTGCCTGTCTGTATTTACAGACTTACTAGGTAACTCATCGATTTTTCTGTTTTTCTTGGTGCTATTCCACTTGTCATTCTTCACTTTTGCCATCCCAACTGGTTGTACTCTAAGCGTGTTGCTATACAGATGTCCAAGAGTAATTATTATCTTAGAATTGAATTGCCTTTGTCTTTATTCTGTGTTGGATCTGCAGTTGTATGAATCTGAGAAAAAGTGTCTGAAATCAGTTTTTTAAAAAAAAACTTTGCTTGTCTGAGAATCTTTATCCTCACATTTAATTGACAATTGGTAATTTATTTGGGTATAAAAATCTAAGTTAGCAATTTTCTTTCACCGTTTTGATGGCATTGATTCATTTAACTTCTGGACTGATGCCATTCTGATTCCTGGTTCCTTATACATGACCAATTTTTTTTTTCCCCTCTAGAAGTTTGGGATTTTTGTCTGTATGCTTTTGGCTTTCAAAATTTTTATTGACATAATTTGTTTAATGTCATTCATTTCCATTCTCTGGCTTACAGTGTATTAATTTGCTTATCCCTTTATTATTACTCTGTTGAGCTTTCAGGAAGAAGTAAACATGACTATTTAACTGGGAATCAATAATAGGACTTTTAACTCTGCTGTCTTGGTAGCTTTTTAAAGATTAAAAATGGATTTTATGGTAATAATAGCTAATAATGGAAACCATTATTATCAGCACTATTTTTTAAAGTAATCGTTACACTTAACATAGAGCTCAAACTCATGACCTCCAGGTCAAGAGTCCCATGCTTTTCCGACTGAGCCGGCCAGGTGCCCCATATTAGCATTAGTTTTAAGGTCAGACAGGATGGCCTAGAAAGATAGATGAGGCATCTTCTGGTTTCCCTCTATAAAGTTCTAAAACTGTCTCCTTCATGAGTTATTTTAGAGACAAGTCACTCCCTACCAGCTTTCTGGTTTTGCTTTGTGGCTTTATTACTCTACTTAGGTTCCATTAAAAAAAAAAAAAAATTACTTATTTTTGAGAGAGAGAGAGGAAGACAGAGAATCCCAAGCAGGCTCTGCACTGTGAGCACAGAGCCTTATATGGGGCTCAAACTCATGAACCATAAGATCACAACCTGAGCCAAAACTAAGAGTCAGATGCTTAACCAGCTGAGCCACCCAGGTGCCTCAGGTTTCATTTTTATAATTAATATCTCGCCTTTTCTATTTATTTTGAAATGTCTATATGCTGGTAAGCCTGACTTATTTTCCTTTGTTGTTTTTGCTTTGTGTGCATAGGATTTTAATACTTTCTGTTACTGTGCTTTGTAATTTGATGAGCAACAGAAAAATCGTATTAATTTTCAACATAATAAATACAATACTACTGTTATAATAGTTAACACATAGTGCTTAATATGAGTGTGCCTCAGTTCAAATAAAATTATGATAGCAGAATTCTGAAGAAACTCGGGCTAAGTCATTTCTGATTGGATATAAGGATTATCCAATTATTACCTGGTGTCACTTCACTTATTATCAGTGTATTTGCGGAAGCTATTTAGTCAGGTGGTTTACCTAATAGCCCCATGCTTTTCCTTCCCTAAGATGTACATGGAGTGAGATGATATTCAGGCCTTACTAGTTCTGTGATACTACACAAATAATTTCACTTAACTTCTCTGGGCCTCATTATATGTATCTGTAAAATGATGTGTTGGACTAAATGACCTTTCATGGTAGATCTTTTCTTTCTGAAAACTGTACTGATCACGTTTTCAGAAGCATCTACTTCATGGCCAGACACTATATTAGGAATTTAAAAATTACTAAGCATCTTAGCCTTCAAGAAAGCACCTAGTACAGCTGAGAGAGACCAACCAATTGTGTAAACCAAATTAGTAACAACCTATTTAAATGTTGCAAAAAACACACACCCCTGGACCCTAGAACTAGGAGAGTGGTGGGATAAGGGAGCAAGATCAAATGTGAGTGACTACTGATGTATCGTGCGTGTATTTGGTGCTAGGCATAGGTTCAAAGCACTTTTTATGTGTTCGTGATAGACAAGTATCTCTCATCTCAAGAACTGGAATTTTTTTCCAGTAATTTTGTCTAACTTTAAAAATTCTAAACTTGGACAGAAGATTTAACTTTCTACATTTAAATTATTTGATGCTTTTAGAAAAATATAGTTGGAATATTCTTACCAAGAGTTCTGCATTTTAAATGGAATTACTCATATTTGAATATGAATATGAATTATCTTGTTGAATGACTTTGAAATCCAAGATTTTTACAAAAATGAGTCCAGAATGAGTTTGCTTCCCCCCACCCCCTATCTTGACACTTAATTTTATAATGAGTTATAGCAAGTAGAGCATTCCTATCACACTTTTACTTTGAAGAAGACAGTTGGTATTCTTATTAGGAGCAATATGAACTCATAATTCAGCCAGTGGCAGAAGAACTCTATCTTGACCACTTTATCTGTCTCTGGGAAAGGCTATGATTAATAGTAAATAGCAGTTGTGGATAATGCTGTTGTTTACAAACGTCTGGTTGTTACTGTTAGTGTAGGCTTTTCTTTTGACTACTCAGTACCTTTTGATCTCACTTCATAAAATAGAAAATTCTCTTCAGTGGAGATTGAATAAACACTGAAGAATAATGAGTACCTTTAAAATATGTAAAAAAAACAAAAAATAGAAAATGTTTAAGGTATGCCTATACTAATATTCTGCTTTGTGTCAGATACTCTGCTTGTCCTTAATGATATAAAGTGATTACGTTGTGATCCAGCACTAAAAGCATTTTATAGCCAATTTTTTTTTTTAGTTCTGACCTATATATATATTTTTAACCCAGGCCTGTACCAATTTATATAATGCCGGTAGTCTGATTCAGATTTCATAATTTTTTACAGTAGTTAAATTATTATAAAGTGGCTTAAATTTTTAATTTTTTTTGTTTCTGTATTGCCGCTCATGTATTGTTGTAGGATTTGTTTACAAAAAAGACATTAATGAAAATCTGTTTTGTAGACATTGTAATTTTCTATTAATTTTGCACTTTTTAAACCTCTCTCTAGTTCAAGTACAAAATAATGCAGTAACTTTATTATCCATCTAATGCCAAGCACTTAGAAAACTCTTCCTTTTTTTGTGCCAGACACATTTGTCATGTGGACTTTATCATCATAGTTGAGATTCTAGCAATCTTACTTGAAAAGTACGTGAAAAGCATAATTCAGATACTAATTTAAATGAACAAGACAAAATGCAAACGAATTTTTTATATTTTTATAGAATTTAGCTTCTTAGCCATAGATTTTGTGTTCTACATATAACAGAATATATATTTGGCAATAGTGCTATAAATAATGAGCAGACTGCTGGATCGTGTCTTTTTTTTTTTTAAGTTTTATTTTATTTATTTAGAGGGAGAGAGAGGGCCAGCGGGGGAGGGGTAGAGAAAGAGGGAGTGAAAGAGAGTCCCAAGCAGACTCCCCTCTGGCAGCATGGAGCCTAGGCAAGTCCAAGCAGAGCTCAGAACTCAGGAACCATGCTGAGATCATGACCTGAGCCAAACCCAAGAGTTGGCCACTCAACAAACTGAGCCACCCAGGTGCCCTGGATTGTGTCTTTTTGATTCTTTCATACTTAGGAAAGAAAACTAATGTAGGAGTCAGGTGAATAGAACATATACAAATAGTAAATGAGTGGCACTGGTATTCTACACAGCAGTGATCTGTTGGAGCAATCACCTACATAACTTTTGTGGTTCTAAGAATATAGGTAGGAAAGCATTTTTGGAAAATGCTTTGTTTGTCATTTTAGAATTCTTGCTTGAGTAAGAAGCGATTTAATTTTCCCCTCTGGTACTGTAAAATCTTTTTCCAGTTGGTCTTTTCAGTACTGTTGTAGATTGCTTTGTATTGGCTTCAACCCCAGTGGATACTTGTTTCAGCTTAACCTTTCCTAGCTAAATTAGATGGTGGCAGGATAATAACAGCTATCATCAGTTGAGCACTTACTGTTTCCTGCATACCAAGCTGTGATCTAAATGTTTCACATATATTTCCTCATATTCCTACACCAACTCTGTGAGATAGGTGCTATTATTAATCCATGTTTATGATGACATAATTGATTCAGAGAAGTTAAACTTGTCCACCTGTTTCCCATTCTCCAAAATTCTGACATTTTTGTCTGCTGTCTTTTCATTTTTGTCTTCTCTTACAGGTTTATATCTTTTCCAGCTTCTTTAGTAATCATTTACTTGAGTCTGAGGAAAAAACCCTGTCCTGTTCTTGCAAGTTGGGAAAGGAGAGGAATTTGAGTTTACTGGAGTATTATTTGCATACTGAAAATTCAGCCTTTTTAGGTATACAGTTGTGTTAATTTTGACAAATGTAGTTGTATAATCATCACAGTCAAGATGCAGAATAGTTTCCTTACCCCAAAATGTTCATACCGCTTCGTAATTCTGTCTCTCACTCCATTCCTATTTCCTCTTTCTGTAGTATGCTTTTTCCAGAATATAGATGGTATTATACCTGTAAGTAGCCTTTTATCATTCTCATTGTCTTTATATTTTCTGGGAACTGGGTGTTGTCTAGAACAGATCTTTCATTCCTGTAGTTCTTGGTCCATGGTTTTATCTAGGCTTGTTCAGTTCCAGCTCTTCTCTGTTACCACTTTTGGTTTGCTGATACTATCCATATCCAGATTTATTGTTTATAAGAGAATTCCTGTTGTGTCATTTAAAGCATTGGAGTTTTTTGGTTTTGTTTTAAATTTTATTTTGTTTTAGAGAGAGACCGAGCAGGAGAGAGGGGCAGAGGGGTAGAGAGAGAGAGAGCCAGACTTGGGGCTTGATCCCACAACCCTGAAATTATGACCTGAGCTGAAATCGGGAGTTGGAAGCTTAATTGACTGAGCCACGTACGTGCCTCAAGCATTAAGGTTCTTTATTCACCATACTAATTCAGTCTGAAACTCAGAAGTCAAAATCCTTTATATAAGGAATGGTTTAGACTGGTTGTTTTATAAAAATTGGTTCTCAGAAGGAAGCACACTTAGAGTAGGAAATGAAGATCAAGGTTAAAAACTAAGCAACACGGTAGAAAAGAATATGGTATGTTGGCCTTTAACTGGGGAGAAAAATGATGAGAAGTTGAGAAAACTAGAACAATGAGGAGAAACTCATTTGTAAAAATTTGAATCATTAGATTCTTTTTAAAAATGTTGTCAGCTAATTCTGTATTTTGGAAAATAGAATATAGGCCAAACACATCCCTGGGCAGCTGGCCTGTGTAACTCTATATTTATCTATATTACCAAATGTGTTTTAAAAATGTACGTTTCTAAGTTACCAGATCTATTTCTGCAGGTTCAGTAGTTCATGCTACTTTGAGTTGAATAAACTGTATTGATTCTTGTCCGTATTTGTCTCGTTGTTATACTTAAAGCATTTTTATGCCTTTTTTCTTCTCCTTTTTCTTTTTCTTTCCTTTTCATTTTTCTTTTCTTTGCTTTCTACGGTAATACAATTTTTAACCCTAGGAGATGTTTTCTTCTTTAGTATTCTGGTTCCTAAAGCTTTGTTACTGCATTTGCTATAATAAATTGCATAATAGTATAAGTGGGAGCTTTGGAAAAAATGTCTCTTCATTCATCCTATAAAGAAGTCTCAGGGGCGCCTGGGTGGCGCAGTCGGTTAAGCGTCCGACTTCAGCCAGGTCACGATCTCGCGGTCCATGAGTTCGAGCCCCGCGTCGAGCTCTGGGCTGATGGCTCAGAGCCTGGAGCCTGTTTCCGATTCTGTGTCTCCCTCTCTCTCTGCCCCTCCCCTGTTCATGCTCTGTCTCTCTCTGTCCCAAAAATAAATAAACGTTGAAAAAAAAAAAAGTCTCAAATGGAAGCGCCTGAGGATGTGAAGGGATTCGTTAGTGTAGGAACAGTATAAAAATTATATGAAAACCCTTGTGTTTTGTCTGAGTTAAGTTGATAATGGAGGCACATTTACTGAAGCCTCTTAGGGAACTGACTGAGGTGACCTAATTCTTAACTAATTGAAGTACCAGAACTGAATTTACCCTTCATTTTGCATAAAATATAATTTGTTAAGTAATTTTACTTCATCATATGATGATAAGATTTATTTGAACCAGAAATTAGTTCAGTGAGAGAGCAAGAATGCTTCCAAAAACTGTCTTTCCATACTGCTGTGGAGGGATGATTATAGGCCAGAGTGTGCTTCAGTGTCTTCATTTATAAACTGGGGTAAAAACTTGAGGTTTTAGGAAGATTAATGAGATGATAATTGTACAGCACCTATGGGAGCTCTTTTACCTCATCAGCATAATTTAAGGTGCACCAGTTTTATTGCAGTACAAGGGGAGGAAATGTCTCTAACTTGTTTTAAATTAGGCCAGGTAAACTTATATACCCTGGCAAGGAAGCCCTTGTTCATGGGTGTTTCCCTTTTTTTTGTTGATTTTTTTTGTTGTTGTTGCTGTCCTTTAATTATGGAATAATCCAAGCATAGAAAATCAGAGAATGTGTAGTACCATTTGATATGTTTTTAAGTCTTAAATATCATACAATGGTAATATCCAACTTACCTTTTTTTAAAAATTGGGCATTATGTTTCTGAGATTTATCTCAAAATCAACTATGCTAGTTGATTTCATTTTAATTATTATTGTGTGACCCTAAATACTTTATTCTCCACTTGATGGACATGTAGGTTATTTCTAATGTTTTTCTTAATTGACCATTCTGCAGTAATCATTTTTAGACCTTTGTGTACATGTATAAAACTTTATCTAGGGCCATATTCCTAGGAATGGAATTGCTGGGTTAGAGGGTGTGTGTGTGTGTGTGTGTGTGTGTGTGTGTGTGTATCTTCAATTTTATTAGATTCTGCCAAATTGTTCTCCAAGCAGTTGTACCTGCCAACTGTATGAACATTCTCAATTCCCATTACTCCACCCTTTTCCTAGCATTTGGAAAGCATTAGGCTTTCTCTATTGCCTGGTATTATAAGAACTTGTTTGATTTTTTTTTTTCTCTGCACTTTCCATATTGAAGTATAATTTGCATGCAATAAAATTTGCCCATTCTGTGTGTATAACTTGATTGAATTTATGGTAATTGCATAAAGTTGTATATCCCCCACCATCAAGATATGAAACATATCTGTTACCCTAAAAAATGTCCTTATATGCCTTCAATTTCCCTTCACCAACCCTTGGCCATGGCAACCACTGAGCTACTTTTTGTCACTTATATTTGCCTTTTTTAGAATTTCATAAAAAATGGAATCATGCAGTAAATAATCTTTTGTGTTGGATTTGTTTCACTTAGCATATTTTTGAGGTTCAATATGAAACATACCACAATTTATCTATTCCTCATTTAGTGGATATTTGTGTTGTTTCTAGTTTGGAGCTATTATGAATAATGATGGTATGACTAGTCACATATATAAATCTTTGACTCAGTTGATTTTTAATTACTGATGTTCAGCAGTTTTGCTGAACTTTAATTAGTTTGAATTATTTTTCTTTCTCAGATTTTCTAGACAGTGATATCATTTACACATAATGATAGTTTTGCATCCTTTCTTTCTTTCTTTTTTTTTTTTTTTTAAATGTTTATTTAGTTTTGAGAGACCTCAAGCGGGGGAGGGGCAGAGAGAGAGGGACAGAGGATCCGAAGTAGGCTCTGCGCTGACAGCAGGGAGCCCAATTTGGGGCTGGAACTCACGAATTGCATGATCCTGACCTGAGCTGAAGTCGGATGCTTAACTGATTGAGCCATCCGGGTGCCCTGATAGTTTTGCTTTTTTTTGGTAATCTTTATATCTGTTCTTGTGCTTGTCCGTTGTGTACTAGGTACGATGTGTAGTATAATGTTAAATGGAAACATTTGGTTTTAGTGAGCAGCCATTATAATTCCCTGACTTGAAATATTATGGTATAAGTCTGAAGTTTCACCATTAAATATGAGGTTTGCTATGGGTTTTTTATCATTAGCCTTATTTATGTTAAAGAGTTTTGCCTCTTGGTGCACCTGGGTGGCTCAGTTGGTTAAGTGTCTGACTTTGGCTCAGGTCATGATCTCATGGCGTGTGAGTTTGAGCCCTGCATTGGCTCTGTGCTGACAGCTCAGAGCCTTGAACCTGCTTTGGATTCTGTGTCTCCCTCTCTCTCTCTGCCCCTTCCTTGCTTGTGCTCTGCGTCTCTCTTTCTGTCCCCCTTTCTTGCTTGCGTGCTCTCTCTCTCTCTCAAATAAACATTAAAAAAAAAAGGAGTTTTACCTCTTTCTAGTTTGCAAAGAGATTTTATTATGAATAGGAGTTAGAGTTTGTCAAATGCATTTTTGACATATTTTGAGATGGTCATGGGGTTTTTCTTAAATTTCATATATGTGGCTTTGGGCTTTCTCTTTACAGTGTTAATTTAATCATTTAAATGCACTTTTAATGATCACTTAGATTAAAAAATTTTCTGTCTTCAGTATGTTTTAATCCTTTCTCCATAATTCAGATTGTAATATGGAATGTCATTTATCTGTCATGAATGTTAATTTTGACTGTAAATTGCTTAAGGTATGAGCCATGTCTTAATCACATTTGAATTTCCCACAGGATCTAGCACAGTACATTGCAAATAACAGGTCCCTAATAAATGTTGAACTGGGCTAAGTACTTAGGGCTGCTTTTCTTTGCTAAATAGCCACACTCTGTTATGTGTCATGAATTCTTATGTTGCCCCCACCCTTCATTATCATGCTGGCTGCTGATGTAACTCTTATGGGTCATTAGAAAAGTAAATAACCAAGCTTTAAAAACAAATTTAAATTTCATCACTCATCAAATATTTGTTGAGTGCCAACCAAGTACTAAACTTGGCTTGGAGCTACCAGTAATGCAAAATGAATATGAATGGATACTCACAAGAACCTTATAGCCTAGTAGGGAGAGAGAAGATCTGTATATGAATTATTCTAATGCAAGGTAGAAAATGATCACTAGAAATAAAAGGAAAAAAAAAAGATTAGATGGACTTTGAAGATCTGATAACTCTTCTAGGAAGTACATGACTGTGGTGCATGGACATGAATGTATGATTTGGCCAAAGACCCTTAGTTTCAGATTAAAAAAAATTTTTTTTTTAATGTTTATTTATTTTTGAGAGAGAGAGAGAGAGAGCATGAGCGAGGGAGGGGCAGAGAGAGAAGGAGACATAGAATCTGAAGCAGGCTCCAGGCTCCGTGCTAAGCTGTCAGCACAGAGTCCAACATGTGGCTCAAACTCACGAGTGATGAGATTATGACCAGAGCCAAAGTTGGACGTTTAACCAACTGAGCCACGCAGGTGGTCCTCCATTCTTAGTTCTTGTACCTTCCCCACCATGTTGGACACTCAGCCATACCACATGTGGTCTTTGGAGATGCTGTGCATTCTGGCTCCATGATTTTATTCATTCTTTGCCCTAAATATAATGCCCTTTAACTCTGTCTTCCACGTGGGTAATGAGCATTTGTCCTTCAACATTCCACTCTAGTATTATCTCCTCTGGGAGCTCTACTCCAAACACTAGTATCCCTTTTTCTGTGTTCTCCATTTTTCTGTTAGAACCCATATCATGTTTATGTTCTCTTTGTATATTTATTTTCCAGGCTGATCTGAATGATCTCTTTCTTGGCAGAGGTTATTTACACCAGTGCCTAGTACAGTTCTTGGCACCTAGTAGACATTTATAATTTCTTAAAATTATTGTTTGCTGACCAGTTAAAAATGATATATCAAAAGGCCTAGAAATTTGTCATCAACTTGACATTTGGGGCTGCATATTCTTTTACAAGTGTCAGCCCATGCTCTTTGGGTATTCATTTATGTGCTACTAGAGAAGGGAGTCTGCCAAGCAGGGTGGATGTTGTACGCACATTTGACTGTCTCAGCAGCTGATACCAAATGTTTGGAAATGACTGTTGCCATCTGTCATTTTCATCCCCCCCACCCTGCTTCCACCCTAAATTAATTATGCTAGGGACTGTATATTGTCTCCTTACATATTTATATCAGACAGGGGCTCAAGCAAAATACTAGACTTTATCATTCACGTTTTATAGTACCTTATGACTCTGTAGAATTCTTAAAGCTTTCCGTTCACAGATGGAATATCTTCCATGATTTGATAAATTACTCTAGGCTTATTCTTTTTACACACTATTTTGTAGTGCACTTGAATTAAGTATTTGTACAGTACTTGGACAAGTTCACCTACTACAGCAAAGCGTAACGCTCTCACAGTGTTTGATCCAATCTTTAAGTTATAAGGCATTTGTTCTATATTGTTAAATTCTGTTTAAAACCTCAATTAACATAGGCACACACTATCTGGCTCTAAATTGTTCTTGGTTGACTGGGACGTATGGGACTGGGCTTTTTCTCAGTAGTGTCATGTTGAAATTTCTCATCTTAGCATTGAAAACATAACCTGGACTTTCATTCTTTCTTGGTTGTATTCTTGCTTCAACTATATCTAGTATTGTTCATATAGTTTTTCTTCCTTCTTATTTATATTCCCTGTATTACCTGCAGAGGTGTGGGTCAAGTCTACTTTCTCCCTTAAGCCATCCTATATTCAGTTTTCCAAGTAAAGATCAGAGTCATGTACTTGAGTGGCTGTACATACATACTACTAACTAGAACATCTTTTATTATGTTGGTTTCCAGTCAATTGGAGCTTTTCTTTTGCTGTCTGTACTATGTGTCTTGAGCCATGAGTTAGATAACACTAGCAACTAATCTCGTTTGTCACCTTTTTGACATTAACCTAGGTACAAATCAGAAATTAGCTGTAAATCTGTAGTGACAGAGTAGTGGAACTGAGTTAGAAGGGCAAAGGGAGTATTTAAAGGACTGGATATTGTGACCCCAGATGGCCTTCTAAGGCTAAATTATTTCCTTGAGTGGATCAAAATAAAAATTCTAACTAATTGTATGTCTCTTACCTTTGTAAGTTTTTTTCTGTTGAATCTTTCCTCATTTTTCTACCGCTTCTATCTTAAAAATGAAAACATTTGTCAAACGGGGATGTTTTTTAGGGTAGGGCAGTGGAATTACGGGATTATTTATGGATAAGTTTGTCTTATTTTTTAAGACTCCAGTTGTTTAAAGAATTTGTTTCGTATTATTTGTTCTGTCCCTTATTTTCCTGTTACTTTTTCTTGTGTATTGTTAGGATTGCCTTTATACCTGGTGTGAACTATTAGCCATCTGTAGCAGACTAATACATAATTTTATAGTATAATGTAATATACACTGAAGGCTCAGCACCATAATACTTAATGACGAAGTTGTGTTGTAGCTTTTCCTGAATTTTTAAATGTTAGAAGATATTTTAATCACCAAAAGTTGTGCACAGACAATAGAAATTATAGACTATGTTATTGTTCTAGAGGTATAAGTAGCAGAGGTGTTGAGGATTAGAATAAAAACCCTCCCAAGAGACTGATGGCTCAGCTTGAGTGGCATTGTGGTGACTTCTGGCACCACAACCTAATAATTCCTGGGTTGATTTTGATTAGAGAACTGAGTCTTTATATCTTGGTTTATAAAATGATAATCCTTTTTAGACTTCTTTCGATCCTGACCTTTCTATGATTCTCACTGGATATATGATACTGACCATTTTTGGTCTTTTTCATATTTTAGGACCCAGATGAAGTGGTACCAGTTGGCCAAAGAAGAGCCTGGTGTTGGTGCATGTGCTTTGGACTAGCATTTATGCTTGCAGGTGTCATTCTAGGAGGAGCATACCTGTACAAATATTTTGCACTTCAAGTAAGTGGAAAATGCTAAGGACTTTTTTGCCTTTCCTTCACATGTATTAGAAAATTGGCCCAAATTTGTTCTAAGCCTGCACTTTTTGTCTGTGGCCTTTAGCCAGAGTGGTGGTCCTACTTTAGAGTTGTGTGTAAAAATCTGAACGTAAGTTTGTTGAGCCTTTTGGAAAGTCACTAAAAGCAGAATAGTGTTGTTTTGAAATGTTGCTGACTAAAGAGTATAGATTATTGGATGATTTTTCAAAATTGACTAACCTTCATTTTCCTACTATAATTAGTGGCTAAGGTATATTATTAATTGCCAATTGAGTAAATACATCAGACAACATCACATGTTGTCTTGTTGATAGACTATAACTTGATACTCAGTTTGGACTCCCCTACAGTAGCCTTTGCTCCTGGGCACTGAATTCACTGGCACCACATCTCTCTGACTCTTTCCCAGTTTTTGGTTTCTCTTTAAGAATTGCGTGACTTCAGCAGTGATGTTGAAGTAATTTAGGATGAATGTTGTTTTATAACTTGAGAGTGTTTAATAGTAATCCTAGTGGGTTAAGACATGAGATTTTTCTTCTCATGATACTCATGATTTATGATCTGTGTTTTGTGATCTATTTCTCTTGGCAATAATTTCATAGGTTTATATTTTCTAGCATTTTAAAATTTGGAGAAACTGTTGGCAAATAGATTTTATTAAAATAATGAAACATTCTGCCATAATATGTATACATTTCATGTTCATTTTCTATAATTTTCAAGAAAATTGCATGTTGATAGACATTATTGAAATACTAGTCATCTTTTTCAATGCCGTTTTTTTTTACAAGAATTATATTTGATGTAGAAAAAAAACATTTTGCAATTACCTGTCCAGAGATATTTTTTTGCCTTAACGTATTGCTTGTTACATGCTTCTACCTAGTCTTTATGTAGATTTTTTAAAAAACAGTCTTTATAGTGATTTCTGTAATCTGTTAGGCTGCCTGTTATTTTCCACTTCATTGTAATACATTTTAAGAAAAAATCACAACTACTTGTATTCCTGTAAAAATTACAGAAAAACGACTCCTTTTTTTGGCTAAAAGAAAAATCATTTAGTCAGTGAATCATATCAAAAAGTTTTAAAAGTACATTTCAGGAAAAAAAATTCATTTCTGAATATATTCTTTTATAAAAATAATGCCTACAGGTAGAAGTAGGCCTATGTGTTTCTTCAAATTTAATTGTCACCAGATGAATAATTGCTTTTATATTCTATTTTTGTCGACTATAAAAAGTAAAGGAAAAATCAGCTGCTTTTCTCCTTCTGAAACAATTTTTTTTACAATACTTCAAATCCCTGTCTTAAAGAATGTGTTAACTGTGTAATTAAACTGTCTGACTTGTCATCTAAAAGTAAGAGTTTGCAAGCAAAATGCTATTTAGATAAGCGGTGGCAGCTTAAGTAATGCTTACATTTAAAAACCTATCTCCCTCTGAATTGCTGAAATAGTGTTTAAACTCTCTATAGCCAGATGACGTGTACTACTGTGGAATAAAGTATATCAAAGATGATGTCATCTTAAACGAGCCTTCTGCAGATGCCCCGGCTGCTCGCTACCAGACAATTGAGGAAAACATTAAGATTTTTGAGGAAGATGAGGTTGAATTCATCAGTGTGCCTGTCCCAGAATTTGCAGATAGTGATCCTGCCAACATTGTTCATGATTTTAACAAGGTGAGTCAGGTGTCTAGAACTGTAAAAAGAATGCACGTTCTTTAATTTATGTTTTTTGCAGTTTTAATTTCAGTATTTTCTGATTTATTCTATTTAGAGTTTACTTTTTATTTAAAAAGAAAAGGGACTTGCGTTTCTTCTTCCCTACAAAATGCCCTAACATTTGATGGATTTCTTTATCTGAAGCCGACCCTCAATGGACTTGGCCTTCTTCCATGTTAACTTTTCTTCCCTTGGCTGTGTTTACCTTAAAGCCCACCTTATGGCTGCTTCTCCTTTGCTAGTAAATTGCTATTTCTTACGTGCTCTCATTTTCTTAGATAAGAGGTGATTCACGCTCCCATTTCTGTGTAGCATTTTCAAATATTAGTAATCTTAGTTCTGTATCATTTTATTAATCTATTTTTAAGTTCTCATTTTACATTTCCCCCTAGTTTTGAATATTGTTATGCAATACAAAAAAGGTGAAGTGAGAATACAGTGACTATCCCAGATCCTCCACCTATTTCCAAAATTTTATCACATTTTCTTAATTTCTTTTCTCACATTTGACACTTGACCCTAGATACTTGAGCTCTTTTCTCTTGTACATAACGTCTACATAACCATGTCATTTATTACCTGTGAGAAAGTGAACATGATAATATGGTATTATTTAATATCTAGTTAATAGTTATATTCCCCCAATAATTTTGTCCCAAGAATTTTTTGTTTTCTTAAACAATTTGGAAGTTTACCTATTATCTGTGGATTTTGCATCTCTGTATAGTTTGCCAGTTTGAACATTCAGGCGTGTCACTGAATTGAGCTTTGCAAATATTTCATGCCTAATAAATGCAACTGATAAGTGTTTATAAAGTAGTTTGAGAAATTATATATCTTCAAGGTAATAAGCCTATCCAAAGCAAATAGTAAATAATAACTAACACCGAGCTCGTAGAAATCAAAGTGTTTACATGATTTAATTGAACTCCTGTTAATCCTCAAAACCATCCCATGAGATAATCCTTCTCAACCACAGTCTCATCTGAACCACAAGAACACGGAAAACCATTTAATTGTTATTTCAGTTTCTCTAAGGATGGTAGTAACTAGTACTATTCTAGATGCATAGGACAGAAGTTAATTCTTACATGTAATGGATGGATACCTTGAAGGGCATTAGGGTTTACTACATGTGAGGAAACTGATTATCTCTCTTAATCAGATGATAAGGCTATTAATTTTAATAGTTTTTTGTTAATCACTTATAGAAACAAACCCCTGATAAGAATTTTGTTTACTAGTAGTGATAATTTTTCCTCTTTCAATACTACCTTCTGTTCCTATCCCACCAAATACTTCATTTGTTGAAATGCAAGTGATTTACACATTCTAAAGCCAACCCATTTTAATGGTACAAATTATTCATAAAAATCAGTTGCTATGTTACAAATATTAATCTAATGAAAATTTATCTTTTTCTTTCCAGAAACTCACAGCCTATTTAGATCTTAATCTGGATAAGTGCTATGTGATTCCGTTGAATACTTCCATTGTTATGCCACCCAGAAACCTACTGGAGTTACTTATTAATATAAAGGTATAAAATGTTCAGATATTTCTTATTAATAATGCTGTTATCTTAGAATTCATGGTTGATATATTAACCCTGTAAGTGCCCATCTTACTGGAAATACAGCCAAGAATTTTATAAAGAGGAATTAAGATGTGTGGTTTTGGGTTTTTTTCTTTTTATATTTTGAAATAAAATATAATTTCTTAAATTATATCTTTGTTTTCCTAATGGGCCAGATAATCAGTAATAGACTTTTAGGAAGTACGATCTGTGTTGCAAACTATTCAACTCATAGACAATACGTAAGCAAATAGGCATGATTGTACTGCAATAAAACTTTATTTGTAAAAACAGATGGTGGGAAGTAGTTTGCCAACCTCTGTTGCACACATTTCCTCATCTGTTCAATGTATGTTTTGAGGTATTCATAGCATTTATTTTCCAAATGTAGGCTGGAACCTATTTGCCTCAGTCATATCTGATTCACGAACACATGGTTATCACTGATCGCATTGAAAACGTTGATCACCTGGGTTTCTTTATTTACCGACTGTGCCATGACAAGGAAACTTACAAACTGCAACGCAGAGAAACCATCAAAGGTAATACTTTTTATTGTTAAAGTGCTTGCAGCAAAGTTTGTTTTACTTCGTTGTGTTGAACCTAGATTTAGTTGTAGGCTGATATTGTTATCATATGCTTCCACGAGTGAGAAAGTAAAACTATATTGTATCACTATATAATATTTCTAAATTCCCAGAGAATCACTAAATTCTAAATTCACTCTTCTCAGATAGAATAGGTGAATGTGAAATGTCAGTGCCTGGAGATGTTGTCAAGCTCACGTTCCATGTAGTCACCCAGTCCAGCCTTCCATCCCGCCACTTTGGTTCAGTCACATTGTGTGAGAGTTCTTATCCAGAGGGTCTCTAGAGGAGCTCTTTAGGTGTGTGCTCAGGGATCTGGATTCTAAACAGAGAGTTTGCCTTTTGGATCACGTTGAAGATAATCATAGTCAGGTTAGTTAGAAGGGAATTTGGCTAGGGGCGCCTGGGTGGCGCAGTCGGTTAAGCGTCCGACTTCAGCCAGGTCAGGATCTCGCGGTCTGTGAGTTCGAGCCCCGCGTCGGGCTCTGGGCTGATGGCTCGGAGCCTGGAGCCTGTTTCTGATTCTGTGTCTCCCTCTCTCTCTGCCCCTCCCCCGTTCATGCTCTGTCTCTCTCTGTCCCAAAAATAAATAAAAAACGTTGAAAAAAAAATTAAAAAAAAAAAAAAAAGGGAATTTGGCTAAAGAATTAAGAGCATTGACAGAAGTAATGTGGCTTTGCCAAATCATTTAGCCTTTTTTTTTTTAACCTGAAAAACAAGAGTGACAGTATCTCCCCCTTTCCTTTCAAGATCTTTGTAAAAATAAAATGAAAGTACTTGTGACAAAGTTGTAGAAAGTAAGAAGTGCCACTTGAATCACTGTGGTGTGATTTCTTTGGAATTGTGGCACCTAGTAAAAGTGCTTTCCTGGCTTTTTGTTAGCACCTAATAATGTTCTCTCACCTTGGATGATGAGTCACCTGAAACCTGCTTGATTTCTTACATTTTAAAATTATCTTTCTAGCTGATATTTTTTTTAAAAAGCCAGACTTACACATATAATGAAATATGCCCTCTTTAGTGTGCACTTCTGAGTTTCAACAAATCACCACCACAGTCAAGGTATAGAACATTTCCACTACAAAGTCATAAATTTATATGCGGCATTATCATTGTTAATAAGATCTGTGAAGATACTTAGTTCAGACAAGAGAGGCAGATTATTTTCTCCAGTGTTAAAAAATCAAACCATAGAAGTTCATGGAATATAGAGTATAATATTTCTGTATATGTAAATAATAACTATAAAGATTAATATGAATTACTAAAGAACCAGAAATTTAAAAACTTTTCCCTCCAAACAGGTATTCAGAAACGTGAAGTCAGCAATTGTGTTACAATTCGGCATTTTGAAAACAAATTTGCTGTGGAAACTGTAATTTGTCCTTGAACAGTCAAGAAAAACATGGGAGAAAAATTTAATATTGCATCATAACCCCACCCTTTGTATTTTGTGCAGTGATTATTTTTTAAGATCTTCTTTCATGTAAGTAGCAAACAGGGCTTCACTATCTTTTCATCTCATTAATTCAATTAAAACCATTACTTTAAAAAAATCTTTTCTTCTTTCCAAGTGTGGTGTCTGTCTTTTATCTTGAATTAGTAGTTGTATGAAGTCATAGATAATAATACACCATAGATCTTATGTGTTAGGAAGAATTTAAATTTCTTTAAATCATTTATCCAGATTTTTACGTTTGAATTATGCATTTTCCAGAGGAGGGGTTATCTAAAGAAAAATCATATATATGCATACGTAAGAATGGACCACAGTGACTTATTAGTAGTTGTTAGCTGCCCTGCTACTTAGTTTGTTAGAGCATTTGAGCACACATTTTAATTTTCCTCTAATTAAAATGTGCAGTATTTTCAGTGTCATATTTAACTATTTAGAGTATGATTTCCACCTTGATGTTTTAATATCCTAGACATCTGCTGTAATAATATTTTAGAAAATGTTTGGAATTTAAGAAATAACTTGTGTTACTAATTTGTATAACCCATATCTGTGCAATGGAATATAAATATCACAAAGTTGTTTGACTAAAAGACTGTGTGTTGTTTTTCCCCTATAACAAAACCAAAGAGTAATTTGGTTCTTTATATCTTAAGATAATCTATGTAAAAGAAGAAAGTATCTCTTAAAAATTCAGTTCGCTACATATAGTGGGTAAAAATACAGATTTTTAAAAAATAAAAACAAACTTTTAAACTAACTAAGGTACATTCTTTGTGGGTACTATTGAAGTAACGTCTAAGACTCAACCTTGAGCGATGCTGTGTAGTACATTTTAAACTAATGCTTTTGTAGTTAATGGAGGGGCTATTATTAAACCTAAAGCTTCCAAGAAGCATAAAATATACTGCTTTTCTGTGAATGCTTCCCTCCCTCACAAATGGAGCATTTCGAGTTACAGAGGTGATTCTCTTCTATTTCCAAGGTTACTTCCTATCTGAAATAATTCAGAATCCATCACCATTTTAAATATCTAAGAGTAATTTCTCTGTAAATCCCTAAGAAAAAAATTTCAATTCTGAATCTTGGAAGTCAAAATTTTTAGTTTCACAAAAATCCATAAATGATCTGGTCTAGGAACCAGTTCTAGTCCAAAAAGATACTATTTGATTTTTGGCTCTTAGTTTTATTTCAGTAGTACTGTAGGAACTTTAGGCTGGCTAGTCAGATATGCAGAGATTGAGAATTTATTTTAGAAGAAAATATATTCTGATGAAATGAGAGTTGTTTTTTCCTACCTTCCAGGCTCTAAAATTTCATGTTTTTTAGGGAGCTATGAACATTTAAGAGCACATTGTATATTCATTCAGCAGATAACTTACTGGCATCTTTTAGTGCATCCGTAATGCACTAGCATTAAGTGTGAAAGATATATCTGTGAGGAACAACTGCTGCTTAGAGGAGACTCTCAAGTCTAATGAAAGGAACTGGTGAATAGCTACCTAATTACGATACAGTTGCGATTGGTACTGTAATGGGGAAGAACAGGCCCAGGAACTTTGGGAGAATTCAGGAGAGACAATGAGATATTGGAGATGTGAAGTGCACTGCAAGGTCATGGAGGACCTTGTATGCCAGCTTGAGGACTTCTTCAGTAGATCATGAACTGCTATCGAAGGTTTGTATTTTAGTTTCTGTTTTCCCACCTATAAGAGTAATGCTGTATTAAGATAGATGAACTGCTTGTAACAGCCACCATCTGAATGGCTTCAGATAGTAGGAGTTTATAAGCTTTTATCCTACTCCATTGTGGCAGGCAGGCTCTAGGCTCCCAGGGACCCAGACTTCTCCATCTTGTAACAGTTCCAGCTTTGACTCCTCAAATTTCCCATGGAAGAACAGGAGTTAGAGTGGTAGATCCTGCAGGGTTATGGCTGGGCCTGACCAGTGGGCGTACACCATTTCTGCCTATTTCCATTTACTGGAGCCCAGCCATATGACCCCAGGCCAGTGGTAAATAAGGTGGGGAAATGCAGTTATCCTGTGTGTAAAGAAAGAGAACCAAAATATCTTGCTTAACATACAGCATTTTTACCACCAGCGGACAATTCAAATGAATGAACAAATGAATAAAACAAAAATCACCAGAAAATAATGATCATCCATGGTTCCATCACACAGAAATAATCATAACAAGATTTTGAGTGTGTATGTTTAAAACTTGTGTTATCTTACTACAATAGCAACATGCTCTTGGTGGATTTGGAAAATATATAAAAACACAAGGAAAGTAGAAGTTGAATATTCCTCACCAAGAACTTACTGTTCTTTTGGTTATTTTGGTTATGTGTCTTTACTGTTTTACTGTCTTTTCCCTCCATTTATACGTTATAAACACTTTCCCCTATCATTCAAAATTATACATTTTAAAGGCTGCAATTACATTTATTGTAGATGTACCATAGTTTTTTAATGAGTTCTCTTTTATTGAACATTTTGGTAATTTATGACATTTTTGCCATTAAAAACACGGAGATGTGTTTCTTTTAATAAGCTTTTTATACACATGTCCATGATTATTTCCATCTGTTCTTGAAATTATTTTTCCTTTTGCATTTGCTCTTCAAAAAATTGTTGAAGTAATAGATGCAAATAGAAATCAAATAGTATCCAAAGGGAACTTAAAAAAAAGAAAGGCAGTCTCCTTTCTCCTTCCCTAAATTCTGATACTTTCTCCTTCTCATAATAGTGTTTCTCATACTTACAATGCTATTTTAAATATCTCTTTATGTTTTCCTCCCCAATCTATACTTTTTATTTCCTATTCTTGCCTTACTGCATTAATAAGGATTTCCAGGATGACATTGAGAAGAAGTGATGAGAGGCAACATCTTTGCTCTGTACCTGATAGTGGGAAGGCTTCTAGTTTGTCACCATTGAGTGTGATGTTAGCTGTAGGGTTTTTTGTAGACAGTCTTTATTAAGTTGAGGAAGTTCTCTACTTCTGGTTTACTGAGAGTTTTTATCATGAATGGGTATTGGAGTTTGTCAAATGATTTTTCTCCATTTATTGATATGATCAATTGATATAATCGATATGGTTTTTCTTTTTTAGTCTGCTGAAGTGGTGGATTACATGAATTGAGTTTTGAATGCTAAACCAGCCTTGTACCTGGGATAATTCTCACTTGATCGTGGTGTATAATTCTTTTTATGCTTCTTTCAATTTGATTTGCTAATATTTTGTTGCATCTGTGTTCAAGGAAGATTTGATCTGTAGTTTCCTTGTAATGTCTTTGTCTGGTTTGGGTATTTGGTAATGCTGGCCTCATAGAATGAGTTAGAAATTGTTCCTTCTGCTTCTGTCCTTTGTAAGAGATTGTAGAGAATTGGTATAATTTCTTGCTTAAATATTTGTTGGTAGAATTCACCAGTGAAGCCATCTGGGAATGGTGCTTTGTGTTTCAGAAGGCTAATTATTGATTCCTTTTCCTTAATAGATACAGGTCATTCAGATCATCTTATTCTTTTGAGTTTTGGTAGATTGTGTCTTTCAAGGAATTGGTCCATTTCTTCTAGGTTATCAAATTTGTGGGCACAGACTTGTTCATAGTTTTCCTTTATTATCCTTTTAATTTCCATGGGATCTATAATGATGTCTCATTTCTGATATTAGTAATTTGTGTCCTCTGTTTTTTTTCTTAGCCTGTTTAGGCACTTAACTGATTTTTATTTATTTTTTTCATAGAAGCAGGTTTTGGTGTTGCTGACTTTTCTTTGTTGATTTCCTGTTTTAAATTTCATTGATTTCTGCTCTGATTCTTACACTTTCTTTTCTTCTGCTTACTTTAGATTTAATTTGCTCTTCTTTTTCTAGTTTCCTGAGACTTAGATTATTGCTTTTAGATCTTTCTTCTTTTCTAATATATGCATTGTCTATAATTTGCCTCTAAACACTGCTTTTGTTGCATCACACAAATTTTGACAAGTTGTATTAACATTTGGTTCAAACTACACAGTGGACATTGTGGTTTGAGAGCAGACATTGATTTCTATTCTTTTAAATGCGTGTTTTTCTTAATTCTTTTAAGTTTGCTAAGATGTGGGGTTTTTTTTTTAATGTTTATTTTTGAGTAGACAGAGTGCGAGTGGGGGAGGGGCAGAGAGAGAGGGAGACACTGAATCCGAAGCAGGCTCCAGGCTCCCAGCTGTCAGCACAGAGCCCAATGTGGGGCTCAAACCCACAAACTGTAAGATCATGACCTGAGCTGAAGTCAGACGCTCAACCAACTGAGCCACCCAGGCGCCCCAAGATGTATTTTATTGATCAGAATGTGGTCTATATTGGTGAATGTTCCATGAGAGCTTAAGAAAAATGTGTCCTATTATTGTTGAACTAGTTTATAGATTGATGGTGTTGAATTTAACTATGTCTTGGCAGTTCCATTGTGTAATGGTGAGCACTCTGGACTCTGAATTTAACTATGTCTTTACTGATTTTCTGCCTGCTAGCCTTGCTTTTTGTTGTTGTTTTAGGTTTGTTGTTTTTGACAGAGGGGTGTTGAATGGCCTCCAGCTATGATAGTGGAGTAATCTATTTCTCCTTGTAGTTCTGTCGGTTTTTGCCTTGTGTAATTTGATGTTCTCTTGTTAGGTACATACACATTAACAATTACTATGTCTTAGAAAATTGACCCCTGCATCATTATGTAATGCTCTCCTTTGTCAATGATAACTTTCCTTACTTTGTATTAAGCTCTGTCTGAAATTAATAGAGCTATTTGTACTTTGTTTTGAGTAATGGCATCATGGCATATTTTTCTCTATCCATTTACTTTTAATCTGTCTGTGTCTTTATATCTGAAGTGGGTTTCTTATAGACAACCTAACAATATAGTTAGGTTGGGTTTTTTGACCATTGACATTCAAAGTGATTATTGTAATTGGATCAGTATCTGCCATTTTTATTACTGTTTTCTGTTTGTTGTTCTTCGTTCCTATTTTTATCTTTCACTCTTCTGCCTTTTGTGGTTTGGGGTGAGCATTTTCTATGATTCCATTGTCTCATCTAAGTCAATACTAGTTTTTTTCTCTCTGGGTCTTTCTCATTAATATATAACCTGAGGAAGAACCCTGGTTTAGTCTCTGTTTTCTTACTGTTGATCATTGTGAGCCTTTTATCTTACTGAGAAAATATTAATCACAATTTAAAATTTTAAAAACTATTTACTGTAGATCCCACACTTAATTCTTCCAACCTTATATTGTAAATTAATCCTGAGAAGCAAAATGGGTGGGAATGGGCTCTTGAGAGCTCAAAATCCATTCCTAAATGGCATAAAGCAAGATAGCCCTAGCTCTTTACTGCTTACATTTGTAAATAATTTGATGGGATTTTTATATTTATTTTTTAAACTTACATTTATATTCATATTTTGATGGTAAAAAATCACGTAGAAAGATTGATGGTAAAAAAAAATGAATGCCCCCCTCTTTCTACCATCCTCTTCTCCAGTCCCATTTTCCAAGGGAGACCATTGTTAGTAGTTTAACATGTAACAACATTTTTAGATGACTTTGTTCTTACCCTAGTGGTAAAAGAAGAAAATGTCCTCTGGTCAGATGATGTGGTCTTATGTGTCAAGAACTATGTGTTTGAGAAGTCCAGGGCAGAAACTTCATACTCTGCACAGCTTCCAAGTCATCCATCTCCCAGCATCCTCTAGTTGTTCTTCTGCATTCATGGTGTAACTCACTTCACTACATCTACTTCTGTGTCCCTACAATAAATTTGATGTTTTATCACATGCCCTGCTTCAAACACTTTTATGGCATCCCCTGGCTAGGATAAAGGCCATACTTAATCTGCATGATCTCATCCCAACCCAGCCTCTCCAGCCTCATCTTAATAACACTCCCTTTTGTTCTTTGCATTCTGCCACACTGACTGCCTTAGTTTCTTGGTAAATGCAATTTTCCCTCCCTTAAAATTTATTCCCATCCATTCCCCATTGTGCCCTTTAGTTAGCTTCTAGTCAGCTTTCAGAACTTAGTGCAAATGCACTTCCTCAAGGGAAACCTTTCTGGAAGCATTAGGAAAGGTTCTGTTTTTAAAATTTTGTCATCTTTGCTTGTTTAATATAGACCCTTGTTTAAACTAGACCCTTCAATATATATAGGATGGCTGACACCTAGTTGGAGCTTTTCCTTATTTATTGAGTGGATTAATCCTTCCTTCCTGTACCACCCTAGTCTTACCCACTGTTCCCTTTATTCTGGATAGTATGTTTCCCAACCAGTTGTCTCTATATATCTCTTCCAAAGTCTTTGCTGGCTTCTAAAACCTATTCATTCTGGATCTTAGTGAGTTGACAAATACAAATCTGATTATGTCTTTTATAAAACTTTCTGAGGGTGTTCTATTGCACTTAGGAAAAAATACAAACTCTTTTCAAGCTCTAAAATTCTGTCCTGGGTACATTTCTGTTCACCACTTAACTTTTTATCCTAACTTCTTTCTGTTCCAGCCTTCATGTAAGCTGGTGGCCCTGCCTGAAACAGTTTTCTCTCTGCCTGTCCCCACCCCTGCCTCCGCAGACAGAACATTTAACTCCCACTCATCCTTCAGATCTCAGATTAAAATTAAACATTTCCTCAGAGAGGCCACAATGCCTATCTTTATTTCTTTTAACTTCCATGTGACTTTATTATCTGTCTCCCCAAAGCCTTTCTTTAGACTATCGCAAAGCTTATGCACCATCTTGTCCTCTCTACCTGGCACATGGTAGGTCTTAACATTGAATGAAAGAGTAAACTAATTTCTTGGTCAGTTGTAGCTAGAGAGGAAAAAAAAAAAGTTCAATATCAACTTCATTAAAACCGAAGTATTTTTTGGCACGCAATCTTAGCCATTTGAGTGGACCATTTAATTAATAATAAATGGGCTACATTTTGTAGATCAATTCACTCAGCTGATAAGGGTTTTACTTGGAGGCAGCTTCATCCTGGCTGGCATACTGTGCAAAAGACACAGCCTTGTTCTAAGTAAAATGTTCTGTGGGGGCCATATTAAGGTTTTTATAGGACCAAGTGGTGACTGATAACTATATATCCCCAAATGTTTCAAGCCAAGATTGTCTTTTTCCATATCATGTCATTCCAAGGAATTTGGGACCAGATGCTCTTTGATATTCAAAAGGATGCCAACATTCTTTTAGGCCCAGTGAGGACCAAAAGGAAGTAGAATTAAGTTTAAAAATGTAGGCAGACTACTTGGTTGTCACAGTCCTGGAGATAGCTATTTGTATTTATTGGGTGGGGCCACAGATGCTAAATGTCTTAAAAGTACGGAGTCCTGCACAACAAAGGATTGCCCTGCCTGATTTGTCAATTATACCCCTGCTGGGAAGCATGAAAAGAGACTCAGTTTCTTGAATACCAGGGAGAAAGGCATCCATTAGACTGCCGCCAACTCAGTGAAGCCAGGCATAGTTTTCCATTCGGGCACGACTGTGGCAGTTTCTTAGAATATTTTTTGTAACAAAACATATAATTAGCCAAATACAAATTTGGTAGCTAAGCTCCATGTATCTAGTTCTCTCCCCGCCGCCCCCCCCCCCCCCCACGTATCTAGTTTTAATCCGCTCCAGAAAACATTATACTTTAGTCAACCCTTAATTATCTGGTATCCAACTCCTGTCACAAACCTGGCTGAGACATGCAGGAAGGTAAGCATACGAAGTGAGAATGCTCTATTCCTTGGGAATGAGTCTAGATTCTTTCTATCCCTGAAGCTAGGGCACTGTAGAAAACCACTCTATTGTGAATAGCTTCCTTTAATTCTTCATAAAAATGCTTTCATAGAACCATCACTTAGTATCCTCTTGACTTTTGTTAAGAACTGATAGAAATAAAAATGAACCAAAAGCGTTTCAACTTTTATAAAAATTCTGGTGAAAGTAGTATGTAATAGCTAGTGCTTCTTATCAAAATATTCTTAATTTGGTATTGGGAAAATTTTGTGTCTCTTGGTACATGCTAATATTAGCTAACAGAGCTAAGTAGTCTCTTTCCCCTTTACTTGGTGGCTGGGAAACTCAGAACAAAACTTTGTGCTCAATTAGATTAATTGCTTTTAGCCTAGGTTTTTGTGTTTGTAACCTTTTAAGTAGTAGTCTCATGTTTTGTTGTGTATTTTAGGTTGAATTTACATGCAATAAAATGCACATGTGTTCAATGAGTGTTGACCATTTTCTATGTCTGTGTTAACAACGATCTGAACATTTTCATCATCCTGGGAAGTTCACTTGTGCCCCTTTGCACTCAGTACCCACTCCTGTTGCAACTGCTTTCTGGCTTCTATGCCCATAGATGAGTTTTTGGCTGTTCTTGAACTTTGTTTGAATGGGATCATAGAATATATATATGATCTTTTTGTCTAGCTTTTTTCACTCAACATTGTTGACATTGTGCTGTTGCATGAATCAGTATTTCTTTTTAATTACTGAGTATAGGGGCGCCTGGGTGGCTCAGTCGATTAAGCATCCAGATTCAGCTCAGGTGGTGATCTCACAGTTCATGAGTTCGAGCACCGCATCAGGCTCTGTGCTGACAGCTTAGAGCCTGGAGCCTGCTTTGGATTCTGTGTCTCCCTCTCTGCTCCTCCCCTGCTCGTGCTCTGTCTCTTCTTCAAAAATAAATAAAAAACATTAAAAAAAAATAATTACTGAGTAGCATTGCACTTAAATATACTTCAATTTATCAGTTTCTCTGCATATTGATACTTCAGTTTCCAGCATTTGGCTATTTTGAATAAAGTTGCTTTGAACATTTGTGTACAATTCTTGATGGACAGATCATGTTTAAAAATATTTAATGATTTTATTGTGAAAGCATCTTCAGTGTAAACTTCATATCTTTATGAAAGGAGTTGGTAAAGTGTAATAAATACGTGGAAATATAGCCGCCCCCTAGGATTAGATTTATAGTCATTAACTTAAAACACTAAAAACAGCTTCTAAATATTAGTTTCCCATTGTTTTAGAATTGAAGGCCAGGTCAAATATGTAACTTATCTCTTTAAATAAACTGCAAATTGGATACCTTCTCATTTAAATCCCTTCTAAGGTATAGGTTGCTATCTTCAAATCCCCATTTTTTTTTGTCCAATAGTCACACCAAACTTAACATATTCAAAGCCAAATTTAATTTTCTTCCCCAGACCTAACTCTCCCATGGTTTCCTCATCTCAACTGTTTTTCAGTTGTTCAGCCTAAAAATGTGGACTTGTGCTTGATTCCTCTGTTTTGTAAACGTCGCATTGCACCCATCAGCAAATCTGGTGCACTCTGCCTTCAGAATGCAGATTATCAGCGCTTCAGCCACTTCCCACTCTCTCTAATGCTAACATGCTAGTCAAAGCCACCATCCTCTCTTGCTTGAATGGGTGCCATAGCTTCCTAACTCACCTTCCTGCTCCCATCTTTGGCCCCAAGAGCCTGTTCTAAACAGGGGAGGGATCCTTTTTCAACCTCAGTCACATCAGGTCATGCTGCTCAAAACCCGACACTCATTCAAAATAAAAGCCAAAGTTCTTACAATGGTCTACAAAGCCATAAGTCATCTGGCCTCCCAGAACCTCTCCTCACATCATCTCTGACCACTCTTGCCCTTTCCTACCCCTCTGCAATCACGTGGCTGCCTCACTTACCTTTGCACGACCAAGAGCAATCCTGCCTCAGCCATTGCATTTGGTGTTTCTGGGCCGGGAACCCCATTCTCCTCCAGCCCCCACACGCATCTCACTGCCTTACTTTATTCTTACCTCTACTCACTGTCCCTTCATTCAGTAGGTCTTCCTTGATCACCTTTGGTCACCCCCAAAGTTGGCAGTGTCTGTATTGTATTCTTACTTACTTCACCCAAGCCAGACCTTGAAGACTGCTTCAAGTCTGAGGATGGGCAGAAATGATGGCTAGAACTTGGCTCAAGATTCCAGAAACAGCTAATACTCAATGTAAAGAATAGCAAGGAAGTGATTGAGGACACTTTTCTCATAGTCTCCCTGGTTTTCTCATGGAGGCTCCTCTGGAGTTTGAAGGTCTCCACAGCCCACATGGAGTGAGATGTCCATTAGATAGAGAAGCATAGAGCTGTGGGCTCTGCCTCATCCCTTCACTCCCCTGCAGCCACTCAGCAGCCAGAAACAACCTGTACTGTCTTATTCTGCTGCACAGTGAACCTGATCAACAAGACCTTATAGCTGGGTGTCCTTGTGCTGTTAACAACCTCCCATTATCTGTGTCTGCACTCCACTGGGGTCTAAGAGTTTGCAGTCTTTCCCTTTATAGGCCGCCTTGGCCATAGCTTATCACAATGCCTTATTTTCTCTATGGCCCTTATCACCATTTGACCTATTATATATTTATTTTTTGTACTTGTTTATTGTCTGTCTCTCCAAGTAAAATGTAAGTTCCCTGAGAACACAGACTTTACTCTTTCTGTTCATGCTGTATTCCTCGTACCTAGAATAGCACCTGACACATGGTAAATACTTAGTAAATATTTACTGAGTTAGTTTTGCTCAATATATTTAACATGGGTTTATGTAGTTCCTTCTAAAAAAAGGCAGCATTGTATAGATTTCAGTGGCTGCTAATGTCAAATCACTCCAAACCTCCCTTTTTGCTTTTCTCTTTCCTTTTCATTTCAGAGTCTTATTTAGGGGTTGGAATGACCATGGGAATCAAGTTGCATATACCCCAGGTTTGGTACTAGTTTTGTTGCCATGTTACAGGAAGCTGGGAATTGTGTCTTTGGTAGCCAGGGTAGAAGAAAGTCTATTATCTTAATGTCTCAAGTTCAAATTCCCTCTAATATAGGGATCCCTTGAAGGTGATAATGTTGAATCACATTGGAGAATAAAAGATGGCAAAGACTGTATTGGAATTCAGACTGATTCACAAGTAAAGACCTCTTGGAAATAACATTCTGAGAAAGGTCCTTCGTGTTTGAAAATCTGCAAGTTTTGGGATCTGGATGATGTGAGTGGTACAGAGACTTGAAACGGAAATTGTAGGGGTGCCTGGTGGCTCAGTTGGTTAAGCATCCGACTCTTCATTTCATGATCTCACAGTTCATGGGTTCAAGCCCCTCATCAGGCTCTGTGCTGACAGAGCCTGCTTGGGATTCTGACTCCCTTTCTCTCTGCCCCTCTGCCATTTGCTATCTCTCTAAGAAAATAAATGAAAATAAACTTAAAAAAAATTTTTTTTAATGGAAATTGTAGCTTCTTCTCATTGATTCATTCCAATAAATATTTTATCAAATGTCTAGAATATCAGATACCTCAAATATGTAATCCTAATTGTGATCTATTTTTTTCAAAAAGTCAACATTGTTTCTATAGTAAGATATTTTCTGCTCAATGACCCAGAAAATCCCACTCCCTGGTTGTCAGTAAGTAATATTCATTGAATACCCATGTGTGCAGATTACAGCATTAACTTCTACCCTAAAGGAGTTTGCAATTTCTGTCTGCTCAAGGGGCTTGGTTGAAAGGAAATTAATAAATAAGCTTGACTCTATAAGACTCATTGCTTCGACTACTAAAACTTTTATAAATCACCTCTTTTTGTAATATGGAAGCAACTAAAATTTGTTTTTCATATTTTGAGAGGATATTTGATACTGACACTATCGAACTGATACTATGTTTGAGGGTGGGGCTTATACCTGGGAGGGTTGTGAATCTTGTATCACCTTCCCCAAATACTCAAAAGACCATGGTCAGGAAGATGGTTATTGCGAGAACAAGGGCATTACACAGCACATTCTGGTCAAGAATAGTAAATAAGGAAAACAGAATAATCAGCTTTTAAAGAAGACCTGTATATATAAAAACAATCTGCAAAGTCAAAGTAATTTGCAGAAACTTCCTAGTTTCACCATTGAGATGCCTCTTGTCAATACTATTTACTTAAAACAGTCTAAGACAAGGTGCAACCTATTGATCAGTTTCTCATAATCAATTCTTAGCCAGAAAATGTAAGGACCCTTCTGTGAGTTCTACCTTACCAGAAGCCATGGGCTTCCTGGAATGACTTAGAAATCTCAGATCTGACAATGATTTTGAAACACAATTTTCAATATTCTTGACCCACCCAGCCATTCCTAGATGTACAAATTATATGGCCACATGGCATGTGACCAGAACAGAGGACCAGGCAGAGAGCACAGCAAGGAGAACAGGAACAGAAAAGACACTTTTGCCCGTTGACCATTACCTTTGTATTTTTTATAAGATAACATTTTTGAATTTTTATTATGGAAAATTTTGAACATAGACACAAAAATAGAACAATACTCAATAAATGCACATGAACCCATCAATCAGATTTACCAGTCAGCAACATTTTGTCTTTCTCAATGTATCCATCCCCTCTTGTATTGTATTGTATTGTATTGTATTGTATTGTATTGCATTGTATTATTTATTTTATTTTTATTTCTGCTGGAATATTTTAAAGCAGCTCTCAGACATATCATTTCACCCTTAATTAGTGCAGTACTCATCTCTCTTTTTAAAGCAAAATCACAATACTGTTATCCCCATCCTAAACAAAATTAACATTAATTCCTTTTATTATCTAATAATAAATTATTATTTATTAGACCTCTAAATCCATGTTCATATTTCCTCAGTTGGCTCAAAATGGCTTTAGTATAGTTGGTATGTTTGA